ACTCTCTAGTGGCCAAACTAGGAGGTTTACAGAGGTGTAAGCAAAGAGCAACCTTATGAAGAGTATGTATAGTATTTAAATAATTCTTAGCAGCCTCTCAAGGCTCACTACCCTCACGTGACTGCTTCTAAAACATTTTGACCCATAAAAACCTCTCAACTACAAAGTTCCATTAACTTAAAATTTCTGGCACAATTCTTTTAGTCATTTTGGCTAAAACACCACTGTTTTTTGTTATTTTGGCTTCATTATTTCTATGCTGTTACCTGTGATACATTTTTATTTATTACAGTATTATTAATTTTTTATACCCCAACCATCTGGATGGGTTTCCCCAGCCACTCTGGGCGGCTCCCAACAGATTAAAAACAGAATAAAACATCAAACATTAAAAACTTCCTTAAAGAGGGCTGCCTTCAGATGTCTTCTAAAAGTCAGATAGTTGTTTATTTCCTTGACATCTGATGGGAGGGCATTCTGCAGGGCAGGTGCCACTACCAAGAAGGCCCTCTGCTGGTTCCCTGTAACCTCACATCTCACAGTGAGGGAACCGCCAGAGGGCCCTCAGAGCTGGACCTCAGTGTCTGGACTGAATGATGGGCATGGAGATGCTCCTTCAGGTATAATGGGCCGAGGCCGTTTAGGGCTTTAAAGGTCAGCACCAACACTTTGAATTGTGCTTGGAAATGTACTGGGAGCCAATGTAGGCTTTCAGGACCGGTGTTATATGGTCTTGGCAGCCACTCCAGTTACCAGTCTAGCTGCAGCATTCTGGATTAGTTGTAGTTTCCGAGTCACCTTCAAAGGTAGCCTCACGTAGAGTGCATTGCAGTAGTCCAAGCGGGAGATAACTAGAGCATGCACCACTCTGGTGAGACAGTCCACGGGCAGGTAGGGTCTCAGCCTGCGTACCAGGTGGAGTTGGTAGACAGCTGCCCTGGATACAGAATTGACCTGCGCCTCCATGGACAGCTGTGAGTCCAAAATGACTCCCAGGCTGCGCACCTGGTCTTTCAGGGGCACAATTACCCTATTCAGGACCAGGGAGTCCTCCACACCAGCCCCGCCCCCTGTCCCCCAAAAACAGTACTTCTGTCTTGTCAGGATTCAACTTCAATCCATTAGCCGCCATCCATCCTCCAACCGCCTCCAGGCACTCACACAGGACCTTCACTGCCGTCACTGGTTCTGCTTTGAAAGAGAGGTAGAGCTGGGTATCATCTGCATATTGATGGACACCCAGTCCAAACCCCCTGATGATCTCTCCCAGCGGCTTCATATAGATGTTAAAAAGCATGGGGGAGAGGACGGAACCCTGAGGCACCCCACAAGTGAGGGCCCAGGGGTCTGAACACTCACCCCCCCCCACTTTCTGAACACGGCCCAGGAGGAAGGAGCGAAACCACTGTATAACAGTGCCCCCAGCTCCCAGCCCCTCTAGACGGTCCAGAAGGATGTTATGGTTGATTGTATCTGCTGCTCAGGCTGCTGAGAGATCCAGCAGAACTAGGAAACAGCTCTCACCTTTGTCCCTAGCTCGCCGGAGATCATCAACCAGTGCGACCAAGGCAGTTTCAGTCCCATGATGAGGCCTGAATCCCGATTGGAAGGGATCCAAATGGTCCTCATCCTCCAGGTGTGCCTGGAGTTGTTCAGCAACCACGCGCTCAATCACCTTGCCCAAGAATGGAAGATTTGAGACTGGGCGATAGTTGGCCATACTGGCCGGGTCTAAAGATGGTTTTTTAAGAAGCGGTTTAATGACCGCCTCTTTCAGCAGATCTGGGAATGTTCCCTCACAGAGGGAAGCATTCACCACCCCGCAGATCCCATCGCCCAGCCCTTCCCGGCTTGCTTTTATTAGCCAGGATGGGCAAGGATCAAGGAGACAGGTGGTTGGTTTCACGCGTCCAAGCAGCCTGTCCACATCCTCGGGGTAACGGATTGAAATTGATTCCATGCAACTTGACCAGACAGGGCTCTAGCACTCTCCCGCCCCAGCCCTGCTCCCACGGTGGTGTCTAGCTCCTTCCAAATATGAGTGATTTTATCTGCAAAAAACTTTGCAAAATCGTTGCAGGAGATCTTGGGGTCTTTACAAGGCCCCGGTGGTAAAGGTGGTTTCATTAAATTGCGGACCACCTAACAACACATGTCAGCTGCAGGGCAAGCAATGTTCTAGTTGGGCCAAAAAGGGGATTGTATGCACCACCAGAAAATGGCAAAGCCCAGGGCTTGCACAAAACTGCTCTGAGGCCCTAATCACTCACTGACAGTGTTTATCCCGAGTCACAATGTGGTTTTAGAACTCTGAGGTCAACAGTCAATATGATTTTCTCACTGCACCAGCTGCAGGAGACAGATCTACCAGGTTTGCATGTTGAGCACACTGTGTTAAGGAAGTGAGTTGTCGGCAACTTAGACCTGCCAGGAGTTACGTCTCAATGCTTTCTATATGCTCTGAGTCAGGAAGGTTTTGGGCATCACATGGCAGGACACAGTCTCGAACAAGGATGTGCTTTTCCACACCCACATTCCCAGCACGTTCACCCTTCTGTCTCAGTGACGTCTATGCTGGCTTGGTCATGTCCACAGAATGTAAAATGGCAGGATCCCCAAGCATTTGCTTTACAGGAGCTGGCTTCAGGCACTAGGCTTGTTGGCATACCAACTCTGCATTACCAAGGTGTCTGCAAATGTGACATGAAGGCTGGCACCATTAACCCTGCTGTCATCTTTCAAAGATGACTTCAGTGCCTAGAGACAGACAGTCAGGTGGTGTAGCCACAGCAGTTACAAGAGTAGGAATGACTGCTGGTAGAAACGCAGAGAGAAGAAATACCACGGTGCACCTGTAGCACTGGATGCCTTCATCTGCCCTGCCTGCAATAAAACATGTCTCTTCTGTATTGGTCTCTATAGTCACAGCAGGTGCTGTAACCCTCCGAAGGGGCACACTTCCATTTTCTCCCAAGACACTGATGCCAACAGCAATTGCTGGTGCTTGCATAGAGCCCTTGTGGCACTTTGAAGTGGGGCTTCAAAATGCCATGCAATGTGCTTGTACCCAAATGAGTTAATTTCACTGTACAGGTGAAAACAGATTACCCCACACAACACTGACACAGTGTTCAAAACTCCCATTGTTCTAGGCGCATTTTGTGACAAGGAATTTCATTAGCATGAGCTGTTTCTGAGCTCGGCGCAGTATTGCGCCTAAGATTTCAGATTAAAACTGCAGAATGGAAGGAAAGGAGGACCTTTTTCTGCCTCCCCACTTCCAGCTATTTTCTAAAGACTGGAGAAGAGACCCTCTTAAGAATATTAGGGGTTGGGCAGGGGAAGGGCTAGACCATGTGAAAAATGAACAGTTCATTTTCAGCTTTGTATTCTTGTTATAAAAAGTGTACCTAGGCATTCCATTGTTGTGCCCATAACCTAGGTTTAAGGTGCCATTTAGCTCCTAACTGTCATATGTTTCTAACATTGCACTGACATCAGATGATTTGCACATGGGTAGCCTTGTCTGCCTGTCAAACTTGGCCTTCAGGGGATGGGGAAGAGAAGGATTCAGCCCACAGGCCAGAACCTGTTCAACAGCACTGGTGCAAGGCTTTATGTGTTAACATAAGCACCCTGAATTTGGCATCATAGCATGTTGACAGTCAGTGCAACGCCTTTGGAACTGGCGTAATATGTTTACTTTTTTGGCTGCACAGGCCAGATCCTCATCTGGGTTGGCCAGTTTGACAGGTAGGCAGGACCATCCAACTTTGTTGACTGACATGACAAAGATGCCAGGTGATTTGGTAGTCTAGTTGGGACTTCAAAGCACCTCACAGGCAGCAGGGTACAGTACTGTTAAAATGGACAGAAAAAGACTGTTTGAGCAGGGATTTCAATGCAACCCCCTTCCTGATAAGGAGCAGGTTTGTAATGAATCCTGCTCATCAGCTGATGATTTGGTATGTTTATATCTTAAGTAGCTTTTATTGTATTGAATTGGTATGCACCACTTTAGTAGTAATATTTATTCAGCTTACATCCCACCCTTCCTTTCAAAAGAGCACAGAGCGGCAAAGGTATAAACCTCTGAATCTGAATCGACATTCATTTTAAGTAATTACTTTAAGCAGAAAGTGAGAGTGCGGTGAGATGGATGCTGTGTGACCTACTCCTGCAGCTCCTTCCTCAGGTCAGTCAGCTGCCTGCCTGCTTGGGCAAGTGGAGCTCTTCTTGAGAGAAACAGCTGAGAGGATTGGGCTCAGAGTGAGGGGGCAGCAGCTGCTATTCTTTATTTCCACTTTCCCCGTTCACTGTCGCCTCACGGCTTTTGGGCAGTTGAGCATGGAGCGGAACCTGGCCAGAACCTCCACACAAAAGACAACAACATGGCAATCCTGCGTGTCTGATTTGAGTTGATGGACTACACAAGCGCAGAGCCCAGCGTTCAGACCGTATCGTTTTACTCGTCTTAGTCTTATTACACCAGAAACCGGCTGCCCGCCCCGCGTTGCTTCCACCCGCGCGCGACAGCATCCTCCCCTCAACTGAGCTTCGGGGTTCATCCCGTCGGAACGCGAGAACAAGCGGTCCGCGCGCGCCTTCCTGCTGGCCTATCACAGGCGCCGCGCGCCTGAGGCGCCAACGGCAACGCTCCCCACCCCCCGTTCAGTCCCGCGGGAAGGAGCCAGAAGCAAATTGCATAATGGGATAGGGAAACCAGTGGCTCGTTTTTGAATGCCGTCCGTCCCGACAGCCAACCCGAGGTAGCTCCTGGCTTTCCATCCCGCCCCGTTCTGCCACGGCAGCCTGGCAGCCTATGGAAGGGAGGGCCCTTTCCTGAGCTCCGCCAATCACAGCGCCGCCTCTAGAATTCCCCGCCCGACCTTGCCTCCTGACCGGTAGTGCCGTGCTATGGAGTACGGAGCGCTCGGAGAGCAACGTCGGTGCCTGCCAGAACCCACAAATCGAGGCGGGCTGCGGCGCCCGGCGGGGACATGACCCAGAACCTCAGTAGCGGCTCCCCCGCGGGCACCCCCAAGAGCCACAATAAAGCGGCGGGCCGGGGACACGGCGCCGGGGGTGGCAGGTACGGCAGGGCGACGGCGGCGGCCACAACAACAACAACTCTCACCAGGCAGCGTGTCGGACGCGGGGGCGAAGCTCCCTGGGTCCCGCGGAGTGGCCTGTCCCACGCATGTGCCCGACGTGGGTTGGGGGTGGGTAGTTATGAGGCGGGAAAAAGGGCTTCAAGGCTCCCCGGCGGGGGTAGGTGGGGGGGGGGCTCGCTTGCGAACTCTGCTCTTTGTAAAGGAAATAGCCTGCAAATAAAAATTGCTATTAAGTGGAAGACTGGCTGGGCTAGAACCTTCACACCCTGAGGCGCTAGATTTTTACTTGCAAGGACTTTTCTTTTTGAGGGGCAGCAGGGTGGAGCCATGTTATTTTGGCGAGGGGGGCCTTCACAGTATGTCATTCAGTGGTGGTGGTGGTGGTGGTGGGTTGTTGCACTTTCCTGGCCCGGAGAGAACAGAAGCAGGACGGCGCCTTGCTAGAGCTCCTCACTTGCCCTCCTCCTCTTGGGGAAGCGACAGTCAGGATTCCCAATTGTTTTGTGTCGTCTCCTACTTGCTTGGGTTCTTGCTGAGGGGGGCTGCCTTAACTTGATTAATTAATCCTCCCTATCACTCCCCCACCATTCTGCTTTGGGAAGGGCAAGAAAGTGAGCTGAGGCTGCTCTTTGCAGTCACCTCCTCAGGTGCCAGGACAGAAAGCATCATAGTCCAGCCACAGTCTGCTTATTCTGTGTGAGCGATAGAGCGATTAAGATTCCTCTTGGTGTCATAAACTCAGATATATAAGCTAATCGCTAAATGGCATCTTAAACCTAGGTTATGACTGCCACAACAGAATGTCTAGGTGCCAATCTTTTTTAAACAATGAGCCTTATTCATAGCTGTCAACTTTTCCCTTTTCTTGCGAGGAATCCTATTCGGAATAAGGGAATTTCCCTTAAAAAAAGGGAAACATTGACAGCTATGGCCTTATTGTTTTAATTATTTTTCATTTCATTTCTATACCACTTGATATATTAAAGAAAAACATCAAAGTGGTTTACAACACATGAAAACATCAATTGAAACAACCCAGAATAAAACAAATTTAAGTTTCAAAGAAAACATTTCAGATCCCTCTCTAAGCGACATTTTGCTTTCCCCAGAATTATTTGCCTACTTAATTTATATAGCTGCCCCATAGTAGAAGTACTCTAGGAAGTCAGTGTACTGTAGTGGTGTCAGACCAGGACCTGGGAGATCAGGGCTCAAATCCCCATTCATTCATGAAGCTCACTGGATGATCTTGGGCCAGTCACAACCTCTTAACCTACCTCACATGGTCGTTGTAGGGATTAACTGAGATGGGGAGGTGAACCATATACTCCTTGGAGAAAAACGTGGGTTATAAATGCAGTAAATAAGGTCATCTGCTTACCTGCTTAAGAAAGCAGGAGGGGCCAGACAGATGGAGATGTCAGTCACCAACCTGGCAATCCAGAGATCTCCACAGGGTTGCAATTGGACCCGCGCCAGTCATAAAACATGCCTGGCTAATTTTGGACACTGTTTCTCATTGCTAGGTTGCCAAAAGAGAGAAGGCAGGTAGGCAAGTGCCTTGCCATTGTCAATTAGCCACATGATTTTCGGGGTGGGGGCAGCCACTTCTACTTTGCTGCCTACTCACTCTAGGTTCTGGGTCTGATTCCCACTCCTCTCTGCCCAGAGGGAGAGGGCAGACTAAGGAATGGAGGGAGCTGCTCTTTTGAACTGCTGTTTGTTTACCTGGGCTGGGGAGGAGGAGCAGGTGCTGCTGTCACCACAGGCAAAGCTCCAGGGGACCTTTCTTTCTGGTAGCTGATTGGAGAATGGCACAGATAGGCCATCCCAAGATGCTGAGGCTTTGGCATCTGCTGTACAGTACTACCCCACTCCCCGTGGGAAAGCATTAAAAACAACATTTCCTATCTGTAATCTGAAGAGGTGCAACTCATCTACCGCCTCAGGATCCCTCTTCCCAGCTCATACTGAATGTGCACACAGATCCACAGCTATCCTTTGGGATCAGAGTCATTCTTAAATTCCACAGCTCCTGTCACTCAAGTCACAGCATTTTTAGGATGAGTATAGTGACAGATAGAAACAAACCAGGTGGAACTTAGTGAAATATTCTAAGGCAAATTGTATGTTAACAAGGGGCCAGCCAGATATTTTTGTGCACTTGCAAGCATGGCACTATAAGGGTGACTGCTTTACTGTGTGTAAAGCCCTTGTACTCTTTATTAGAAGTGTGTTACTAACTTTTGTTGCTTAGTAGCTGTTGACTGCAATACTTAATAGAATTCCATGCATCTTTTAGAAAGCCATCCAAGATAGGCAGTTCTTAGAGAAAAAGATTCCATAATTATGCATTGTGTAAAGTACACTCTTTCCTGATCTGTTTTAAGATGGACAAATCACCTTCACTGATTCGGTACTGTCCTAATGTGGATTTTGGATTTTTTGTTATGTCTTGCCCAGCTACGGTTTGTGCACTTTCACTGTGTGATCCTGAGCTCTATTATATGAGAGAGAGAGCGCACAAGCAATTAATCTTCTAACAGTCCACAAGATAATTTCTCTTCAAAACCTATGAAATTGTTTGATAATTATGGAAATCAAGCACATTATTTTGCATGGGCTTTTTTCAAAAAGCTGAAGAATGTTTATAGAATTAAGTATGGTGTGAAGAAAGAGGGATAGAGGGAAGTTTCTCTCACGTAATACTGGACTCTCGCATAATACCAATGCAGCTGAATGGACAGATAAAAGAAAGTACTTTTCATACAGTACAGGCCAGTCAAGAAGAGGTCACTGGTATATGAGGAGGCCCATAGCCTTCTGAGGGCCCAGATGTTTTAACCTGGGCTGCTAACGTTGCTGTGGTTATTATGTGATAACCACAACAAATATTCTTGGAATACACTGCTTGCCCCCCCCCCCCTTTAACAGTTTTTAATCTTGAATTTATTCAAGCATGGACATATGAACTTTGTTTGCTATACAGTGGTACCTCGGGTTACGGACGCTTCAGGTTACAGATTCTACTAACACAAATAGTACCTTGGGTTAAGAACTTTGCTTCAGGATGAGAACAGAAATTGCATGGCGGCGGCGTGGCGGCAGCAGCAGTGGGAGGCCCTATTTGTTAGGATATTTCCGTTCCACCTTAAAAGGGAGCAGGCTGTGAGTCACAGAGTCTGCGTATTTCCTGTTCACAGGATGTTTATGTTTTCTGTTGCTTTCGTTTTTCTCTCTCTGTGTCGGAGACACTGACGCAGGTAGTCATGTCTTTCTTTCTTCTGATCAACGCTGAATAAAACTTGTAAATAATGCTCTCCTGAGTGCGACTTTTGCTGTGACTATCTGCTGATAGAGTGTGCATGAGCTCTGGAATGTGGCAAGATATTTTCTAGAAACTCATGTCACTAATTGCTGATACTGCGTGCCTACAGGAGATCGATGGATCGTCTGGCAGACGGCTTGGGGCCATGATGGACTTTGTCTCCCTGGCAGTATCCCAACACTATTAGCTAAAGTGGTACCTCAGGTTAAGAACAGTTTCAGGTTAAGAACGGACCTCCGGAATGAATTAAGTTCTTAACCCGAAGTACCACTGTGAATCTAAAATCGGTTTTGACTTCCCCTCTTCCATCTGAAATACCACACCTGGTTTTGTACTGAATGTACTGTAGCATTGCTAGCCTAAGAATAATTAACAATGACATAAATAATTTATACCTTATGTGCCTTTCCAGCTGTGTGACAGGCAGATGTTTGTCTCTTGGTGCTGTGCTGCCCCGCATTGCAGCCACGCCAGGCTGACAGCTGGAGATGTTAGGTGTCAAACCTGGTTTCTAGACATCTCTACTGCCTCACAAACAGCCGTTGCCTGTTGTGAAATGTGACTGGTACCTGACTAATTTTGAATGCTGCTTGAAAGAGGAAAAACAATGTAGACAACGTGATTTTTATTACTGGGAAACTCTAGTTAAGAGTGTAGATTTGGAGTTTTCCAGAGCTGCTGGCTGGCTGCATCAGGAAGGAGGGAGGTCCTTATCAAATGAGGTAAAGGCTATTGAGGAGGAGTGGTCTTCTTTACATAGGCATAACACTCCCTTCCTGGAAAGTGAAACTAATCTTGCACTTAGAGGTTGACTGCTGCAAAGAGTCCCAAAGAAAGCTGAATCTAAAGCTATGAATTCTAAACCATCAGATTATCAAAGGCAGTCAGAATGAAGTTGGTGAGTTTCTTTTGAGTTTCTTGACACTCATAAGACATGGGAATTCTGCCAGAATTAATGTTGGTTAGAATTTTTTTTTGAGAAGTATGATGTAAAGGTTCCATTCTTACTATTGATAAAGCTGGATTAAATTAGCAATATTATTATTATTATGCTGCCTGTTATTATGCTTTTTATTATGTTTTTATTTTTGATGCTCTGTAAAATGTGTTTGTAATGCTGTACACTGCCCTGGGATCTTTTGATAAAGGACGGTATATAAATTTAACAATCAATCAATCAATCAATCAATAACACTTTATACACTTGCAGGACATGGAAGCAAATACAGATTTAGTTCATAGTTTTCACTGTTTGCACTAAATATATGCTAAATTAGATCACTCTCCCAGACATCAGGAAATTTTCTAGTGCAAACTTAAAAATCGCTAATTTTGCTAGGATTCAACCCACATAACTTGCTTTAATCTGAGTGCTGAGCCCCAAAAAAGTGCCACAAGGCAAAAGCAGATTCAAAATTCTAATAATTACTAGCAAGTCATGCTTAGTTCTGAATGCTTAGGGCACTGGAAAGAAAAAAGGAGCTCGGGTTCTTAGCTGCAATGACAATCTGTGGGTCTTAAGTGAAGATGTGGTGTTCGAAAACAAATGTAACTTCTGGAGCTAAGTAAAAGTACAGTGTGTGTGCAATAACTGATTTGACTTTATCTTGAAAGCGTTGAGACAATTCCCAAAGAGTATGCCAAACAGAATTGCAACTGTACCACAAGAAAAAGTAAAGACAATTAATCGGACTTTGGGCTCAAAGTATCTGCCTATGGATGAGGCTTCCATTTGCCTGATTCACTGTTCAGGTCTTCTTGCCGGGCTGGGTAATTATGCCACATCTCTGTATTGTGTGTGTTTGGCTCAATCAGTCAATTCCTGACATTCAGACAAACTACAGATTACATGGCTCTGGAATGAGGCTGCTAGAAAGTAACCAAGGTCAGAGCATGGAGGAGGCTGACAGGAAGGAACCAAGGCCAGGAGAGTGAACTATGCAAAAACACAGAGCAGCCTCCTATAAATGTAAGCTAATTCTGCTTTGATGCACACTCTAGGCTTGCCTCCTACACACACACACACACACACACACACAGCATGCAATGTACTTTTCTTACTCTTACAAACTTCTTACAAATTATTCTTACTCTTACAAACCTCTTACAAGTTATTACTTGTGCATTGTTTTTCAGGTGTAATAGTAAAGTGTACCTCCATTACTGGAAGTCTGAGAAATACTAGGCTAGACTCTGCAGGTGTGGATGCAGAGGCCCTGTTCTGTATCCACATCACTATGCATTGAAGGTGGGATGCAATGAACTTTTTTTGTGTGGGGGGGTATCTGATCCCATTGTGGATGTTCAGTTTGTGACATGAGTAGGAGTGGTTCTGTGAATGTGAACAGAAGCTGTGGTTTCAATAGTCTGATTGTGGTTCCACTATCTCATATATTCCACAAGTTATGACACATTTGCCCAAAAGGCTTGCCACTGCATGACACCAGATTGTCAATACAAAATGCTATCTGCCCAAACATATTTAGAATCTATCCTTTTGACTTGACCTCTCATTTGATATACAAGTTAAGCAGTATGTTTGTATAGGTAGTATTTTCATGAACTTGTTTTTTCTCTTATAGGAACGGCTCTATTCTTGACTACTTCAAACCATCTCCAAATCAAGGTAAGCAAATCTTTCTGTTTATAAAATGTCTAGTACAGTATTGAGCTGTGGAGCTCATCACACATTACTCTTTACTGTGAAAAGCATGAATATAGGTGTATATTATAGTATAGGTGAAAATTGCACAGTTCTGATTTATTGCATGTCTGGAAGCAACTGCTCATGCATCACATTCTGCCAGGCTCCCTTTTTACCAGGCAGAGGAAGGGGCAAATTTCATAGCTGGTGACAAGTCTCCCACAGTACTGGGAATGAGATCATGCCATGCATTCTCTTGATTTGGATACCTTGGTTAATCCCTGGCAGTAGTTTCACAGCCTTGTGTTGATGGGCAGCAGGCTTCTAAGCACTGGGCATGTCTATAATCTTGTTCACATCAGGAAGTGTAACCAATGTGAAGCTTACTAAACATGAAAATGAACTACCAGACATTTGAATTGCATTTAAAGTGTCTTTACTTTTCAAAAATCCAACAGATTTTTGGAGTGATTTGATTGGTCAAGATTACTATGAGAGCCACTGCAGTATTTGGATGAGGATGATTATGGTGTTACCAATCTTGATTGCTATTTATTAATGTTTATTTAACAATTTGTTTTTAATGGTTGGAAACTTGAGTTTTATTTTTAAAAGTTTGACCTAAACCAGTCATCCCCATTGTGGTTTCTTCCAGATGTTTTTGGACCACAGTTCCCTTCATCCTTGATCATTTGCCATGCTGGCTGAGGCTGATGGGAACTGGAGTCTAAAACGTTTGGAGGGTTCTAGGGCGGAGAAGTTGATCTATGCTGTCTGGTAGGATCTCTTCAGGTTTATTCTTTGCTTCTCAATGACATGATGTGGGGGGGGGGTCAAGCTAGCCACAAGCCTTGGTTTGGACATAATGTGAAGCCAGCTCTAGTTTGTTTTCTTCCCAGCGTGGCAACAGCAGGAGCGACTTTGGAACTTTTGAGCAGCATGCATTAGCACTGTGCTCATAGTTTAAAATAAACCATGGTTTAATGCAGGGTTCTTCAAACTCGGCCCTCCAGATGTTTTTGGCCTACAACTCCCATGATCCCTAGCTAGCAGGACCTGTGGTCAGGGATGATGGGAATTGTAGTCTCAAAAAACATCTGGAGGGCCGAGTTTGAGGAAGCCTGGTTTAATGTGTTGTGTGAAGCAGTTTTGAGATTCTGGTATTTTTTTATTAGAGTCAAACCTTGATTCCTGAACAGCTCCGTTTTGGAACGTTTCGGCTCCTGAACGCCGAAAACCTGGAAGTAAATGCTCCGGTTTTCAAATATTTTCCAGAAGCCGAACATCCGACATGCCTTCCGCTTGAGTGTAGGAAGCTCTTGCAGCCAATTGGAAGCCGCGCCTCAGTTGTTGAACATTTCAGAAACTGAATGGGCTTCTGAAACAGATTACGTTCAACAACTGAGGTTTGACTGTACTAACTTTCTGCTTTGTTCAGCATTTGTTGATGAAGACAGAACTCTGTTAATGTTTTTCAGAAAAAAGAAATGGGAAAGCTGGGCTTTCAGTCTCACATACGGAGCATCTTAGAAAAAGCATATTATCTCCAAAACAGAAGAGAAGGAAGAAGTTGCCAATTCCACCACCCAATCGGAGTCCTTTAATTGAGGCCTTTCTCAGAGGTGCTAAATCTGAGAAAAAGGACTGTCCAGATAATGGAATTTTTATGACATCAAAGGTTTTGCATCCCAAAGCTGTTGCTCGGCAACTCTTCACAACAGATGGATCCTCAGACTGTTCTTTCATATTAAAAGATAATATATGCACAAAAAACCTTGAAAAGAATGAAATATCTACTATTCGAACAAGGACACCATTAGTAGAAAATAGTAGAGAATGTAATATGGATTACATGGAACTAGACACAGCTGGTTCAGGCTTGACTAAATGGGCTTCAACAGCAGAAAATGACAGTTTGAACAAGGATAACCACACATACTATCAAAAAATGGGTTGTTTGAAGATACCACAGTTTAGCCCAATTAGTTCTTCATCCCAGTTGTTGTCGGAAGTTGTTTGCAGGGAGAGACAAGTGAAGGAGAAAAAGATGCTATCTAAGCAACAACCTTTTGACTCCGTAAAGAAATCCTTGGAAGTTAGCTTTTCTAACCAGGTATGTTAAAGGGGGTAATAAATACCAAAGCAATGAAGTTTTTAAATGTAGCATTCACAGTATTATCCAGTTATGAAATAGTAAGTATACCTTCCTGCTCTGGTCACTTAATATTTAAGTTACTGTTTGGGGATTTTTAAATAATATGAACTTTGGGGCTCCTTTAAGCTATTTACAGTCTTAAGATTTGGAAAGTAATAGGCCTTGATGTGGCATTGCCTTTATTTTAGCAAGGGTGCTGCCTCTTTTATTTCAGTTTCATGCTAGTTTAAGTATGACCAGCCTCTGTATTTTCAAGGCTGCTGTACTCTCCAGAAAGTTGTCAGGAAGTATGTATTGCCACACAAACTGATTTCACACATAGACAGTTAAAGTCTGTTATGGCTATTAACTGTGGACAGACCAGGAATCCCCTTTAAAAACAATCTTACATGTTTGCTTAGGTATGCCTGAGGCTGTACTTGGTAGTTGCTCTTGGAACTATTATGGGATGACTTAGCACTTACACAAGTGCCAGTCTGGGGTGGGGGGTGGAGAGACTCTAGCTGCTACCAACTCATTCATCATTTACATCCAAGTGAGTGTCAGTTCTGGGTATCCATAAATAATCAAGAATCTACTGACACAAGCATACTTTACTACATACTGGTGGCTTTCCAACTTAGTACTTGCCTTTTACATTACATCAAGCATAATGTCCAGAATTTAGGAAGACTTTGTGGATTGGTCAGAAAACTAGACAGGGCAAACAAAACATTAATGATCTACTCAGCAAAACTAACTTCAGATATTATTAAACACGCCTCCCCAAATAAAATTGCATTTCTGCCTACTACTATTTATTTGCCATAGAAATTATGGAGATTAGGAAACAATAGTGTACAAAGAATCTAGTTACCTTGGCTACCTTACTGTTCGGAAGGTTGTAACTGTCTTGGTTCATATCATTTGCATGTGAAAATGTGCATAAGTTTACATTTTTCCTTAAATGCAACATGAGCTGTCAGAAACCTAAGGTTCAATCATCACAGCAAACTTGGCCGGTTATGCTAAAATGACCTGTGGATGCTTCCACATGATAGTTTATTGTAAATGCAGTGTTGTTCGTGCTAGGAAGCTTTTTGTGGTGTCCACATGATGTCATAAAAAAAGTTGGATTTTCCCTTTCAGAAATTCCATTACGTAAAATGTATGGCCTGCATTTGAAGTCAGTGCTGGTGTGAAAGCACCTTAGCACTTTTTTTTGGGTGGGCAGTTTTTCATGAGTGTGGTGATATCACTCTGCCATTTTGTTTCTGGCAGCCCAAATAAAGCAATTCACTGATTGCCCCATTCTGAAGGCACATGCATAGTACCTATATCAGCCTCTCTTTAATTTTTAATATGGAAGATTTAAATATGACTGCTCTTGCACAAAATCTCTCTCTCTGTGTGTGTGTGTGTGTGTGTGTGTGTGAGTGCGCACCTACCCCAAGAGGATATAAACAGGGCCAAAAGTTGGCAATGATTGCTAAGCAATGTGAGGAAGGAGCTGGAGTAGGATGACAGGATGTGGCTCACAGAGACCTTACTGGGCAGCTGAAAGAATGATGGTGGCTGTAGCCAGGTCGGGGTGGTGGCAGCCTGTTTGGGAGGTGCGCTGCAAGGAGTTCCCTTAACCAGCTGGTTTTAGTGTTCAAAATGTTTCTGGGTTGGATGATCTATAGGAAATTAAAAGCAGTAGAATGCATGAAACAGAGTATGATGGAAATGAATATATTTGTGCTACAGTATCATGCCCCCTCCTGCAAGCAAAGAACTCCCCCCCCCCGCACCAATACTTCCAGTTTTGTCTACTGTGACACATGCTGGTAACATTTGCTCTTGGGTTTTTCCTGGGGGGTTTTTAAAAGGGAAAATGTGTGTGTACATGTACACATTGTATGTCAGTGGCACACACAGGAAAAAATTGATCTGAATACCCTGTTTGTGAGAACACCCTCCCTTGGAAGGACCCTGAATATGCAATTTCCCTTTCCTGCGTCAACATCCAGGTTGAAGTCTGTATCAATGAATCCATTATTAATGATAAGTTAAAATATTTGATAGAGTTCCCCGTGACTTGGAAGATTCACTTTCCACATCATGTGTGTGCTTTGTTCATAGAAATCTCTGCCAAGCTGGACAAAACAGCTTTTTCCTCTGAGGTTTTAGAGCTGAGATATCTATATAAAAGTTACAAAGAAAACAGTTGTGTTTAGATGCAGCCATAATCATTGAAGCATTTTCCTTATCTCTGCGATTTGAGTGGTTAGCCACATCCTTCCTGCTTTGGGGATGAAGAGATGTATGAATCTCATAGTATTGTCTTGCATTAAACAAGCCAGTGCTATGAGGATAATATGTGTGCCTACATCCTATTTACTGGAATCACATAGGCATATGAGAGAGCCCTGGCCACATGAGAGGGAAACAAAGAGCATGGTGTATGATTACTGCCAGGTACTTATTTACAGGGCCACATATCAGCGTTCATTTTTAGCACAAAGGCAAAAGAAATCTATTTTAAGTTTAGGCTTTTCATTTTCAAAAATGTGGCCATTTTTACGTATTTGAGTCTTCTGCTGTTCAGCAGTCTTGCACATTTCCTTCAGGACCATGTGTGGAATCAAGCTCAATACCTTCTCACAACTATCACTAGAAGCAGATATCAGGCTTTTTTGATTCCACAATACAAGCAGTAGTTTGAGGGGTATGAAATAATGGAGTGAGCTCTGAAATCGATCCTCAGTTATCAGTGTGCTTGCTTGGGTTGCCTAAAAGTAAGAGCATGCAAAGGCAAGCAATAGTAGTTATAGCTGAAAAGTAAGTACTAGAGATCCATCTATAGCTCCTGCCTTCATCAAATGTGAGGAACCATTGGCCCTCCAGCTGTTGCTGAACTACAGCTCCCATCATCCTTGGCCATGCTTGCTAGATCTGATGGGAGTTGTAGTTCAGCAACATAAAAGGCCATGTAGGTTTTCAGGTTACCTATGCCTGTCATTTTTAGCTTCATTTATGCATTCTAAAAGAAAAATATGTGGAATATACTTTAGGGTCCCATGACTGCAAATGAAAATTTTCACTGTCCCAAATAAATACAGTGGTACCTCGCAAGACGAATGCCTCGCAAGACAAAAAACTCGCTAGACGAAAGGGGTTTTTGTTTTTTGAGCTGCTTCGCAAGACGATTTTCCCTATGGGCTTGCTTCGCAAGACGGAAACGTCTTGCAAGTTTGTTTCCTTTGTCTTAACACCGTTAATACAGTTGCGACTTGACTTCGAGGAGCAACTCATAGAACGCGGTGTGGTAGTCTTTTTTGAGGTTTTTAAAGACTTTGGTGATTTTTGAAGCTTTTCCAAAACTTTCCCGACACCGTGCTTCGCAAGACGAAAAAAATCGCAAGACGACAAAACTCGCGGAACGAATTAATTTCGTCTTGCGAGGCACCACTGTAGTTGTGGTGGCTCTTAAGAGTTGAGTTGTTTGCTGTGCCCATAAAGCAGTAATACCGTTTAAGGCATTGTCAAATCTTTTTTGTCTCTGCTTATTTGTAGGATACCAGAGGTCTCTTAACAAAAAGATCAGACTCTACTTCGCGGGAATCTTCCTCAGGTACGAACATAGCAGCTAATGATGTAGAAGAATTGGAACAAGTAGCTTACTGCACTGTAGTATCTCCCCTATTGATGGCTCCAGTTGTAACTAATTTACATACAGTAATCCAGCGTATATTTACATGAAAGTAAGTTCCATTATGTTCAGTGGAGCTTGCTGTTAGGTAAGTGTACATAGGACTACAGCCTGAAGAGCTCTTTATTTTCTTAAGATGTTCTAAATCAGGGGTAGACAATGTGGTGATGCCCTCCAGATGTTGTTGGACAAGGCCAACAAACAATTCTGGTCAACAGTATCCACCGACATCATGGGCCCAGTTGGCAGTCTAGATTAATCCCTTTGATCTCGAACACCTTGTGAGTCTAAAGTTTTGGTTCCTGAACACCACAAACCTGGAAGTGAGTGTTCAGTTTGTGAATGTTCTTTGGAACCCGAACGTCCTTTTTGGCATTTCTGAACGCTTTGGAAGTTGAACAGAATTCCAGAATGGATTCCGTTCGACTTCTGAGGTACCACTGTCATCCCTTGGAACATTCTGTTACATTGACATTCTAATCAAACAGAACTTTTTCAATGATGTACCACTATTTTAGAGGCCTTGCATTATATAATAATTTTAGTTAATTTTCATTTCACAGCTGAATCCTCTTCAGTGCAAGCTTCAGAAGCAGAATTTCCTTCAGGATGGGACTCTGATGAAATGATTAACATGAGAAAAAGCCAGACCTGCCCATCAGTACACCCTGACTCAATACCTTTGTTGGGAATATCAAAACATAAAGAATATTCCAGAAAACGAAAAAGGAAATCTTTAGAAACAGATTTGAAAAAATCAAAGAGGTCCAATGTACAGAGGTTTGAAAAACACAATTTTAGTAGTTCACTGGAAAAACATAATTCTGACTGCTCAAAAAACAGAATGTCACCTCATGTTGACTTGCAGGTAGAGGTTATGACTCCACCTGACAGTAATTTGCCTCTTTCAATAGAATATATTGATACTGAAGAAAATGGATATAACAGTATGGATACAACAAATAAAGATTGCCAAATCCAAATTACAGATGCCAAAGAGAGTCAGTTACAGACATTCCCAAAAATTAATTTAGAAAAGGTGCTTCCTTTGTTTAAAAAAATAGACTATAAATCCATTAAATGTCAAGAAAAAATATTTTCCAAACAGTCAACAGAATCTGAATCACACATTCGGCATAATAGTTCATGTGAAGCACTGAAAATGACAGTTCATCCGCCTCTCACTTCTACTTTACCTTCAGAAAATAATTCTGAGCACCCTGTATTATTGGGAGATAATGTTCTGTCATCAGAAGATTTGGATCTTGGCACCATCTCTAGCTCTTCATCCGATTTAAATGAAGGTTCCAAGCCAAGGGCATGTATTTTGAACAGAAAACCAAGTCACTTTTGTGATAGTGATATTGAGACCTCTGACAGCAATATGGACAGCAGTGATGAAGAGATTCTCTTGCCACTTGACCAAATACTGGCCCAGAGTGCCAGACCATCTGCAGAAAACCCAGAACAGAGAAATGATGAAAATGGTAAAACAGACACCATGAGTCCATCACAGAAGATTCCTGTAAGTGGTTAAAAAGCTCATCTTAGTTTAGGAAATCATTTGAATAGTTCACATGTAATTATCTGAGACTAATAAGCCATGCTGTATCATGTGCTTCTGTGCTTACTCCATATTTCTCCTTGTACACTGGGCTTCAGCACTTTTATTCTTGTTTTTTAAAAAAAACGAAATAAAAACCCCCCTCAAATTCCTGTTGCTTCCAGCTGGGGAAACTGATCTAAACTCTTATAAACCAGGCTATGAAACCCAAGAGGAGAGAGGCAAGAAGCGAGCCTGCAGGCACAAGTCTTGTTCTCAGGTTAGAGAACCATGGTCTGGGATAACTGAACTGGGCTGTTCTAGCTGTGTCAAATGTGAATTTCTCTTGAAGACTGGTATTTTATAGCATGGGTGGGAAAAGTCCTGGGCAGTTTTCCAGAGTTATTGTCAGAAGTGACACAAGTAAACACAAGCTCATTCTGGTTTAATGTTTCAGTTTCAGAAGGAGTAAGCTATTCTTACTTTGATAACTACAGTGGTGTTGGTGTGTATAGTTAGGATGGGTACTTGCAGGAATATAGCAGTCATGCCGAAACCTTGTTAAATAGGTATTATGACATGTTGAGAAGTCACAGCTGCTGTTTCGGCTACCTGAGTCTATGCCCTTCCTCTTTAAAAACAGAAAGGCTATGTTATATTTTCTCAAGTCTGCATCCAGGCTCGGTTCATGTGTTTTGGTACCTTAGCTCCTAATCAGAGCCACAGACAGATGGCTGAGTTAAATGGACATTTCTGAAAAAAAAGTAAATAAGTCAAATTAGAATCATAGAATCATAGAGTTGGAAGAGACCACAAGGGCCATCGAGTCCAACCCCCTGCCAAGCAGGAAACACCATCAGAGCACTCCTGACATATGGTTGTCAAGCCTCTGCTTAAAGACTTCCAAAGAAGGAGACTCCACCACACTCCTTGGCAGCAAATTCCACTGTCAAACAGCTCTTACTGTCAGGAAGTTCTTCCTAATGTTTAGGTGGAATCTTCTTTCTTGTAGTTTGGATCCATTGCTCCGTGTCCGCTTCTCTGGAGCAGCAGATCTCCATCAATTTTCAGGAAATAGAAAATATCCCAGGAAAATTGCCAGTTCAAAATCTTCCAGAAAATCTATATTACTTGAGAGAGTTTGTATTGCCCATGTGAAGATGGCACCTATCTGTTTTATTGCACCTATACATTTTGGGAACCTGTGGTCGTTTTCTAGCTAAAAAGAAGCAGTGTGGTCTTTGCAATAGAGGATGTACAACTTACATACTTTTTGTATTTTTCCTAGTTTCAAGATTTTCCTTAATCTAAATGGTGACTGAGAACATGCAAAGTAGTGGTAGCTAATGGAACAAAAATACTTCTATTTTTAATTTTCACTCTTTGTTTCAGCTTTTCACACCTTCTGTTAAAAATGTCCATTACATGAATCACCTGGAGGACATCTTGAAGGAGAAGGAAGCATTCAGAAGGTATGTATGCCCATGTGTCTCCTATCCCTAGTAATGCAATTTAGGATCACCCTCCATAAACATTATGTTGAAGAATGATATGACACCCTTGATGGTATTGCCTGCAATGAATATACTCACCTTTCACTTAGTAGCAGGCTATTTCCCCCCATATATGGCATGAGAAAAGAGTTGAAGTTACATAAAATTAGCATTGTTTTAGTTTTGCACTATGAAAATCATCTTCTAATCCATCAGATACTAATGGATAAGTATCTTCCTGTCTGCAAGGGTCTCCATTTCTACCTTAAGTCTTTTTTGTAGTTGTCTTCATTTTGAACTTGTTGAATTTAAAATATGAGATGGTTTTCAATGCATCAATACATAATTTGATGAAGGCCATGAAAACACTTGTTCTAGAAGCCTGCTTAATGTTACAGGGTTTCTAGTGGTTACTAGGCTTCTTCAAATCTTATCAGCCTTAAAAAGCAGGAATATTTGAAGTTAGTTCCTCACATGCCATCTACTATTTCCATCCACCATTCTCTCCTCCATGTCATTGTAGTAGAGATCCTATTGACTGTCCTGACCTTTAAAACCTAGACAGCCTAAATTTGCTGTTTCCTATAGGAAAAAAATCAGTGCTCAAGTATCAGTGCATGTGGATCTTTTCTGGTTCTAAAAGCCTACACTTTTATGACCAGAAGAGAACTGTGCTGCAGCTGCCATAGTGCTATGTTGCTTTTTTATGGTAGTATGGAGTTATATGAGAACTGGTCTGAAGTTTATAGGATCAGGAAAGGTATCTAAGAAAGTACGGCTACATCAACAAATCATTGGCAGTGGGGAGAGAGGGAGCTAGCATGCCATTTAACTGGTCCTGGGGCAATTGGCATTCATTGTAATTGCTTGGTTGGTTGAGTCCTGACCACTGATCATGCTCTGCTGTGGTTGATGGGAGTTGTAGTCCAGAACATCAGGAGGGTACCACACTGTCTACACTGGCTTACTGCAGAGTTTGTACAAAGAATACATATTAATCTATTGATTCCTTATGAAATAACATTATAATAGAAAAAAGGACATGTCAATGAATTTTAGCAATCTGCTCTATGTTGCTTTTTCTAACTCCAGTAACAAACAGAAATACCAGATGCCTGTTTATAAGAGAGGAAACATGCCAATATTTAAACTTGCTCTAAGATGTGCTGTTATAATCAGAGGCCAAGGTTCTTTTTAAACACCCCTCTCTGCATTACAGGATAGATGAACTAGAGAAGCAGCTACAGCAAGTCAAATGGGAAGTTCCAATAAATGGTCAACATGAAGAAGACTCTGATGATGGTGAACTGTCTGCAGAACACAGGTCTTCTAATTAATCCTTTTCTTGTGATTATACTCAATGAAATACTGTTTGTCTCATTGACCACTGTAATCTACCCTTCTACTGGCTTTCCAAAAAATTCCTTTAATTTCTCTCTAGGGTCCACTCTTATTCATCATTTATATCCTGTATACATGATTGGCAGTTGTAGTGTTAGGCCATGGCCTGGTTCAGATGATTTACTGTCATAAATCGTGTTTCAGGATGGTTACCAGGAACCATCAGAGCAAATCTCTGGCTCTTGTGCTCCCCTCCTCCTCCTTTGTGTTTGAAATGATGAGTGAAAACTTTCACTTTAGTTCAAACCATAGTTCTGCATTTGATAAAGACTTTAAGAGATAATGGTTTGTTTAAAACAAATCAAATCTCATATATCCTACTTTATCTAACTTTGGTTAGAACAAATCCCAGTTCAATGAGTTCAGAAGTAACCTAGAACTGTGGATGATTCTAAAGTAAAAATGGACTTTGCACTCTCCTGCGCAGTGGAGGAGAGGGGAGTGGGGTCATGTCCAGGACTTTCCATGTCTCCCCCCCCCAATCACTTAACCATGACTTAGGTCAAGGATAGGGGGCCCATGTATTGCAAATCCTATCATGTCTGACCATTGGCTATGCTGGCTGGCTCTGATGGGAGTTGGAATCTAACAGCATCTTTTGGACATGATGTTGGCTGCTCTTAGTGGATAAATGTGTGGGATAACTGTTCATTAAACAGACTTTAAGGATTATACATTACAGATGTAATTTTGTGTTACAGAGAATTTTTAGAGAGATTTGCATTAATCAGTGATGCTATTCCTGACCAGCACCCAGGAGAAAATATATTTCATGTAGTACATACTGGGAAAATCTTCAGTCATCTTAACCTTGATTTGAGGAATTCTGGGTTTCATCCTCAAAATCCCATTGAAAAATATATTCTCGGGTAAGGATGGTTTTTAATAATGTCCATTTTCTTAAAGTATCATACTAGCAAAATGTCATCTGTATGGATAGCTATGCATGCTAGTTGGTAGTTTGCCAAAATCAAAGAGTCTTCTGTCCCTAATGTATGCTTGCTACCCTTATTAGTCTCTGCAAATTAGACAAGTTTCGGAATTAGAGGTTGTGTTTATTGAAATGTGTCAGTCAACCTTGTGGTGCCTGTTTTAAGTGATCAGTTTGTAATTTACTTAAAAGACCACTGTAAACAGTTAAAATCTTTGGCAGGGATGTAAAGACACTTGTACTGTAATGTGGAATTGTTTTAATAGTAAATCTAGTTATATAATAGTTAGATAAGAGGAAAGATGCAGTAAATCTAATTTTTAAAATGGAACCTATGGAGGGAGGGAAGGAGGTCTAAGCGTTTCTAAGAACCCTGTATTTTAATGTTTGAAATCACTATGTTTTATATGTATATATATTTTCTTTCAAATAGATATATATATATAGAGAGAGAGAGAGAGAGAGAGAGAGAGAGAGGTATCAGTTTACCTTTGAGTCATGAAAAATATTGTGTACCACTTTTCAACAAGCCTAGTTATTCTTGCATCTGATTTGGCTTAAGCTTCACCTGCATCATATGTCAATCTGTTAGCAAAGGCAGCAGTAGTTGGCCATCATATGCTTGTGCAAGAATTTCCTATGAGTCTCTCAGATGCGGCTGCAATTCTCCTTTTAAAGCCTCTGTTATTGGGTAGAATTCAACGTTGTCCTCTTGTGGTTCAGTCTGTGCAAGCATTGCAGTTTGCCAGATGGAGCAATCCTTTCCTCCCCCAAATGCTGTTGGGGGTGGGTTTCTCCTGACTCCTCTGAACCAATTTGTGGGGAAGGAGGGAGAAGCACCGCTGAACAAGCAGAAATCCTTGTGCAGGGCTGCCGCTGGAGGGGCTGGTTAGGTGAATCCCACCCTTAGTTTCCTTATATCTGATAGTTTTTATTGTTTCAGGTGCGGTTCTTTAAATCTGAGATTTAATACACAGGTTAACTTTGAAAACATGAAAGTGATTCTTGGTGGTTCTTTCTGCAGATCTGGAATAACACAGCAGCTTTTTGTAATCTCTGAAGGCTTGCTTCTGTCAGCTTACCACAGTTCTCCATGTCCTGTTCCCATTTTAAAATGGATGTTTCAGGTAAGATGCATCTTATTTAATGTTGCATTGGATATCATGAATCCGGAAGCCTTATTAGACTGAACTACAGTTAGTTTATACCTTACAGTTTAGCTTTCTAGATTGCTCATGTTCTGCATGCACACACTCCCTGGATCCTGGAGCATGAGCTGTTGGTAAATCCTGAGAATTAAAGATCTGGCATATAAAATAATTCTTCAGTTACAGTTCATTCTGCATTAACTCCTATCTAATTTAGGAAGTGTGAGCACACTTTTAAACTAGTCACTTAATGTCAGAAATGTGAAATGCCTTGCATTTCATGTTGATCACTTGCTTACCTCTTCTCTCTGCACTGCCAGCAACCTCCAGGCTATTATTTCTCTCCATACTGGCACTGTTTCACGAGTCATAGGAAGGATGCCATAAGTGCAGTCAAACCTCAGTTGTCGAACCTAATCCGTTCCGGAAGCCCGTTTGGCTTCAGAAATGTTTGACAACTGAGGCGCGGCTTCCAATTGGTTGGAGGAGCTTCCTGCACTTAAGCAGAAGCTGCATCAGATGTTCAGCTTCCGAGAAACGTTCAAAAACTGGAGCATTTACTTCCTGGTTTTTGGCATTTGGGAGCGGAAATGGAGGCGTTCGGGAGCTGAGGTTTGACTCTGTACACCAAAGCTGTATTCTCCTCAGGAAAGGGGATCAGATTTGAAAGCCTATTGTATCTTTACTGACATACCAAAATAGTTTACACAAGGGAAGACATGGGATGAAATAGACTATTACAGTATATGATTGACTTCAGACATCCCTAAAAAAGCCAAACCTTAACTCCTTTTGCAAAAGAAAGTTTTGCGATTTGAACTTCCTGAGCTTTCACAGTAGATAGATTGGAGGTACTTGAGCTAAATAGGAAGGTAAAGATGGAGAATATTCTGTTTGGCTGGAGTCTTTTTAGGATGGCTCTCTTAACACTTGCAGATCTGTCAGAATTTCAGTTTTGTTTAAAGATTTATGCCCCACATTTTGATTGCAAGCCAATTTGTAGCAGAATCCAGAGTATCCTTTCCTTTCCTTTTGTAATCCCAGAGAAACGGGTGGCTGGAACAGAGTTCTATTTGGCTGGGAAAGTAAAGCAAGCTCCCGTTAGCTGCTCATTTTGTGGCCAGGCTGGTCTTCCCATTGCTATCATACCCTTCCTGTGCAAGAGGAGATGCAGCCTCCCAATGATCTCCTAGCCAGTGACAGACACTAGAGCACCATTACCTTTCAGTTCTTGTATTGCATATAAGTTCTTCTTAGAAGTGTTTGATTTTGTAATATGCTATCAAATCCACCTGAAAATTGTCAAATGATTCCATTTAGCTTTAGAGCATTCTTTTTAAAGAAGTTAGCCTATTATTCTCTCCCACTCTCTTGTCCTTTTCTCAAGCTTACACTTAACTTCTTAAGTTCATTATGTATAAACTTTATGGGCCTGAATACCTGTCCCCAGGAAATACCCAGGATATCTTTCAGTTTGGAAGTCAAGGATTTAAGAGCGCTGCCTTCGCTTTCCCCCTTATATAGCAAACTGGAAGAATATTTAAAAGACCAAAACTAGAGCAGCAATGGTTAATCTTATTTGCATTGATCAACACTATTCTGGCACATCAGATCACATTTGTACTGTATTTCAGTAATTCTTCATCACAATGCAAGAATACTGAATATGCAAAAGTTCTAATTGTCTTAGATGACCTTCAGTTTTGTTTCAATTAAACAGATGATGTCAATTCATCCAGACAGTTCATTGTCAAGAAAGATTTTGGATATGTTGATGTCATTAACAATTAAAACTGGTGAGTATTTGAAACTAAACTTCAGGAAGAACTTGTAGTTTTTACACACTGGGAAGAACTTTTAATTTTTACCCATTGGGAAGAACTTGTAGTTTTTACACATTGACACAAAGTCCTGCAACAGTCTTCTCACTTTTCACATAATTCATTCAAATGTAATTTGGTTGTTTTACCATCTAATAGAATTATTTTTAGTTTAATGTGGCTCACAAGGTTCCTTGTTAGGCACAGCAATCTGGTGATGAAGATTCAGCCACTTCCTAAGCCCTTCTGGCTCACTGTAATCAGGGAATGGTGGGAAGGCCTTCTTTTCTTAATTTTTCTTCTGCCATTTTTCTTCCAGTTGTGGTAGATGGGAAAGAATTAACTTGCCAGCTCTAGGGCTTGGATAGCTTTTGGGAGAGTATCGGGAATGAGGGGTTTTAGGATTCTGCAAATCCACAGCTGTCCTTGGAATACCCTGTTTCAGGCTGCATTTTCAACGGGCATGCTGGGGAGCCTTCCTCTTCATCAATTAAGCAGCATCTAAACTGCCACATAAGGCCTCTTCAGCCACCAAATGTCAGTTGTAGGATCTCGCCCTAAGCCTTCTTCTGGTACAAAATATTTACCACTGAATGAGCAGTAGAGCTATTAGTTCATGTGGGGATGAGGATGTGCATTTACAAGGAAATCGCATTGTTTCTCTTGATAAGTTGAGATAAAAAAACAAACTACCGTATTTTTCCGTGTATAAGACGCCCCCATGTATAAGATGCCCCCTATTTTGGGGGACTCCAAATTAGGAAAACACCCCTTAGCACTACCTGTGTATAAGACGAGCCCCAATTTTAAACCTAATTTTTTGGTTTAAAAATCTAGTCTTATACACGGAAAAATATGGTATATTATGAGACCATGACCGGTACAGACTATATAAATATTTCTGTATCTTTTCTGTGTTGATATGCTTATATATTTTCTGCCATCTTTCCCAGGTTAATCACACTGACAGCTTATTTGCTGCTTTGAAGAGGATTGTGCTTTTGTAGTACAAATGTACAAGAGTGGTGGGAAAATATTAAAATAGTACCCTTTGCCTTAGAAAACACAATTACAGTGTCCCAAAGAACGTACCATGCTCAAGTTGCATTCTGCTGTTTACTTAATGCTCTTGAGTCTCCTCCGCTATCTTCATAAACTACTTAAAGCAGAGCTCATGTCTGAGGGAACTCCATACATTAGCACTGGTATGCTCATTGTGCTTTCTGTTCCTCTGGTTTGGGAATAAATAGCCAAGTGTTATCTCTCTGCAGCTTCAGCTAGCAACGACCAGCCAAGGCCATGGATTCCATCAATATTTGATATAGCAACTGTGCTACTGAATATGGGTGTTCCTTTCAGTGCACTATTTCCTCTGCAAGATTTTCAACCTAACTTTTCTGAGGATGATATAGTGTAAGTGTTTAGCATCATATCAGTTTTTTCAATGGATTCATTAGGGAACCATAGAAATATTTGCTACTTTTGTAAGGTTCCGATTAGTATGTTTCTGTGGTTTGCATTTAAGTAGGTATTTAATGCTGTGATTTTATTACAGTGGTACCTCGCAAGACGAATGCCTCGCAAGACGGAAAACTCGCAAAACGAAAGGGTTTTTGGTTTTTTGAGTTGCTTCGCAAGACAGTTTTCCCTATGGGCTTGCTTCGCAAGACGGAAACGTCTTGCAAGTTTGTTTCCTTTTTCTTAAAACCGTTAATACAGTTGCGACTTGACTTCGAGGAGCAACTCATAGCACGCGGTGTGGTAGCCTTTTTTGAGGTTTTTGAAGACTTTGGTGATTTTTGAAGCTTTTCCAAAACTTTTCCGACACCGTGCTTTGCAAGACGAAAAAAACCGCAAGACGACAAAACTCGCGGAACGAATTAATTTCGTCTTGCGAGGCACCACTGTATCTTTTTTTGTCTCCTGATACATATTTTCCTCTGTCCTGAGACCTCAAAATGTAGACTCAAATTAAACAACATTCTAAGTTTTATGTTCTATAACGTCCTACAAATGTGCCAAGGCAGAGCTTTTTATAGTAGTTCATTTTGTCAAAGTGTAATAAATTTAATGAGGGAAATCCTTTTTTGCTAGATCTGAAATGCATGAGACTATACAGAAAAAACCAAGTGGAGACATCTTTGGAAACTCGGTTCCTATCTTTCATCTAATAGACACCAACCTTTGCAATATATCCAAGGTGAGAGAGACCCCCCACTCTTTTTCCTGTTTTTGAAAGTTCTCTTGTATAAGAGAAGCATATGTGGTGATTGCTGGTGATAGTCATGATTCACTTGGACAGCTAAACTTAGTAGCTGGTTGATCTTGACTGTTAAAGCTTTTAAAAAAGAACGTTATTTCAATGAGCAGTATGTTTCTTATTGGTAGTTAGCAGAAATTGACCCCTGATAGGTTCAAGGACAGACAAACCTAGTAAGTTTCACATCAAAGGAATAAACACTGTCTGCACTTGTAATACGCAACTGAGATAAGATTCAATATTGCTTAAAGAAGAAGTTTTATTATCATCTCATTTCTCCCCTTAAGTTTCTGCGGCTCTGTATAAGCATGTACCCAGAAGGTTACACGGACAAAGAAATATTTATGTTGCTGTTGCTGCTGCTTAAACTGAGTTTGGCAAAAGAGCTGAAACAATTTCCCCTAGTGGACTTGGAATGCCTTGTTATAAAACTACTGGAAAATATCAGAGAGTGGGATACCAAGGTAACTGCATCAATAAGTGTTTAGTGTAATCTGTGTAAAATTGAGCTTAATTTTGCCAAAACCTCCAGAATTTGTGTGTTTAGCCATGCCTTGAGGGAACTGCTGCTTTGGTTGAGCTCCAAAAGAAATATAATACTTTAAAATTCCAATCATTTGCTGATAAATACTACTTGTATTGGAGACACTGATTGGAAATATTCTTTTTTGTCTAAGAAGTAGTAGATGTGTTAAACTGCAGCTACAGCGGCAGTGAAGATAACATGGTAACCAATTTTTATCTCAAAAGTAAGCATAGATATTACAAGAGTGCATTGTATCCCATAACATGTTGTTGTCGTTTAGTTGTGTCCGACTCTTCGTGACCCCATGGACCAGAGCATGCCAGGCACTCCTGTCTTCCACTGCCTCCCGCAGTTTGGTCAAACTCCTGCTGGTAGCTTCGAGAGCACTGTCCAACCGTCTCGTCCTCTGTCGTCCCCTTCTCCTTGTGCCCTCCATCTTTCCCAACATCAGGGTCTTTTCCAGGGAGTCTCCTCTTCTCATGAGGTGGCCAAAGTATTGGAGCCTCAGCTTCACGATCTGTCCTTCCAGTGAGCACTCAGGGCTGATTTCCTTAAGAATGGATAGGTTTGATCTTCTTGTAGTCCATGGGACTCTCAAGAGTCTCCTCCAGCACCATAATTCAAAAGCATCAATTCTTCGGTGATCGGCCTTCTTTATGGTCCAGCTCTCACTTCCATACATCACTACTGGGAAAACAGTAGCTTTAACTATACGGACCTTTGTCGGCAAGGTGATGTCTCTGCTTTTTAAGATGCTTTCTAGGTTTGTCATTGTTTTTCTCCCAAGAAGCAGGCGTCTTTTAATTTCGTGACTGCTGTCACCATCTGCAGTGATCATGGAGCCCAAGAAAGTAAAATCTCTCACTGCCTCCATTTCTTCCCCTTCTATTTGCCAGGAGGTGATGGGCCCAGTGGCCATGATCTTCGTTTTTTTGATGTTGAGCTTCAGACCATATTTTGCGCTCTCCTCTTTCACCCTCATTAAAAGGTTCTTTAATTCCTCCTCCGTTTCTGCCATCAAGGTTGTGTCATCTGCATATCTGAGGTTGTTGATATTTCTTCCACCAGTCTTAATTCCGGCTTGGGATTCATCCAGCCCAGCCTTTCGCATGATGAATTCTGCATATAAGTTAAATAAGCAGGGAGACAATATACAGCCTTGTCGTACTCCTTTCCCAATTTTGAACCAATCAGTTGTTCCATATCCAGTTCTAACTGTAGCTTCTTGTCCCACATAGAGATTTCTCAGGAGACAGATGAGGTGATCAGGCACTCCCATTTCTTTAAGAACTTGCCATAGTTTTCTGTGGTCGACACAGTCAAAGGCTTTTGCATAGTCAATGAAGCAGAAGTAGATGTCTTTCTGAAACTCTCTAGCTTTCTCCATAATCCAGCGCATGTTTGCAATTTGGTCTCTGGTTCCTCTGCCCCTTCGAAATCCAGCTTGTACTTCTGGGAGTTCTCGGTCCACATACTGCTTAAGCCTGCCTTGTAGAATTTTAAGCATAACCTTGCTAGCATGTGAAATGAGTGCAGTTGGGCAGTAGTTGGAGCATTCTTTGACACTGCCCTTCTTTGAGATTGGGATGTAGACTGATCTTCTCCAGTCCTCTGGCCACTGCTGAGTTTTCCAAACTTGCTGGCATGTTGAGTATAGCAGCATCATCTTTTAAAATTTTAAATAATTCAGCTGGAATATCATCATTTCCACTGGCCTTGTTATTAGCAGTGCTTTCTAAGGCCCATTTGACTTCACTCTCCAGGATGTCTGGCTCAAGGTCAGCAACCACACTACCTGGGGTGTACGACACATCCCTATCTTTCTGGTATAATTCCTCTGTGTATTCTTGCCGCCTCTTCTTGATGTCTTCTTCTTCTGTTAGGTCCTTACCACTTTTGTCATTTATTATGGTAATCTTTGTATGAAATGTTCCTTTCATATCTCCAGTTTTCTTGAACAGATCTCTGGTTTTTCCCATTCTAGTGTTTTCCTCTGTTTCTTTGCATTACTTGTTTAAGAAGGCCTTTTTGTCTCTCCTTGCTATTTTTTGGAAATCTGCATTCAGTTTCCTGTATCTTTCACTATATCCCTCGCATTTTGCTTTCCTTCTCTCCCCCGCTATTTGTAAGGCCTCGTTGGACAGCCACTTTGCTTTCTTGCATTTCCTTTTCATTGGGATGGTTTTTGTTGCTGCCTCCTGTATAATGTTACGAACCTCCATCCATAGTTCTTCAGGCACTCTGTCCACCAAATCTAAATCCTTAAACCTGCTCCTCACTTCCACTGTGTATTCATAAGGGATTTGATTTAGATTATATCTTATCGGCCCAGTGGTTTTACCTACTTTCTTCAGTTTAAGCTTGAATTTTGCTATGTGTGGTGTAGTGGTTAAGAGCGGTGGACTCGTAACCTGGTGAACTGGGTTCGATTCCCCGCTCCTCCATATGCAGCTGCTGGGTGACCTTGGGCCAGTCACACTTCTTTGAAGTCTCTCAGCCCCACTCACCTCACAGAGTGTTTGTTGTGGGGGAGGAAGGGAAAGGCGAATGTTAGCCGCTTTGAGACTCCTTAGGGTAGTGATAAAGCGGGATATCAAATCCAATTTTTTTAAAAAAATTTTTTAAGAAGCTGATGATCTGAGCCACAGACAGCTCCAGGTCTTGTTTTTGCTGACTGTATAGAGCTTCTCCATCTTTGGCTGCTGAGAATATAATCAATCTGATTTCGATGCTGCCCATCTGGTGATGTCCATGTGTAGAGTCATCTCTTGTGTTGTTGGAAAAGAGTGTTTGTGATGACCAGCTTATTCTCTTGGCAGAACTCTTATTAGCCTTTGCCCTGCTTTTGAACTCCAAGGCCAAACTTGCCAGTTGTTCCTTTTCTCTCTTGATTCCCTACTTTAACATTCCAATCCCCTATAATGAGAAGAACATCCTTCTTTAGTGTCATTTCTAGAAGGTGTTATAAGTCTTCATAGAATTGGTCAATTTCAGTTTCTTCAGCACCAGTAGTTGGTGCATAAACTTGGATTACTGTGATGTTAAAAGGTCTGCCTTGGATTCGTATCAAGATCATTCTATCATTTTTGAGATCGCATCCCAGTACAGCTTTCACTACTCTTTTGTTGACTATGAGGGCCACACCATTTCTTTTACGGGATTCTTGCCCACAGTAGTAGATATGATGGTCATCCGAACTGAATTCGCCCATTCCCATCCATTTTAGTTCACTAAATGGACCCAGGATGTAAATATTTATTCTTGCCATCTCATTTTTGACCACATCCAACTTCATGGTTCTTACATTCCAAGTTCCTATGCAATATTTTTCTTTACAGCATTGGACTTTTCTTTCGCTTCCAGGCATATCTGCAACTGAGCGACCTTTCAGCTTTGGCCCAGCCGCTTCATCAGCTCTGAATCTACTTGTATTTGTCCTCCACTCTTCCTCAGTAGCATGTTAGATGCCTTCTGACCTGAGGGGCTCATCTTCCAGCGTCATAACTTTTATATGCCTGTTGTCTTTGTCCATGGAGTTTTCTTGGCAGGGATACTGGAGTGGCTTGCCAGTTCTTGCTCCAGGTGGATCACGTTTGGTCAAAACTCTCCCCTATGACCTGTCCATGTTGGGTGGCCCTGCACGGCATAGCTCATAGCTTCTCTGAGTTATTTAAGCCCCTTCACCAATACCATTATTAAAGGATAGCCATTGCCTCTTGTGTGCATTGCATTGAAACTTTTAGATTTTTTGCAGTTGCTCTTAATTGCTACTAATGACTGTTTCTCTTGTCTTGCTTGTAAGATGCCTGAGTTATGCCGTGCAATAAGTTACCTGTCCAGCCACCATCATGATCTCTTAGGGCTGGTTCAGTTTGTCCCAAACTGGATGACACGAGGAAGGTAAGCCTCACTGCAATACAGTTCACTTTGCATGTCACTTCAAAACACACAGAGAAACCACTACATTGCAGAAAATAATCTTTACTTAAATGTTATCGTTTCAGACAAATAAGAAGGCATCTTAGCTTGGTAGTAATCTTGAAGCTTCTTAAAACCCATGTGAAAATACCCAGCAGCCATGACCAGCAGGTACTGTACAAACTTGCTTTATTAACATATTGAGTTCTTAAGAGTTACCTTTATTCCACTAATCCATGATCGACATTGATGATCATAAGCAGCTTGCATGACTTTCCTTGGGAGGGCATAAAATCCCAGAAGAACTCTTCTTTCTTTCAACCCCTTTTTCCTTTTGTATTCCTTTTTGTGAACAAGGGAAACCTAGTTTTTGCTATTTACATAGAGATAACTAGGCTTCCCTCATTCAGGGACAGAGTATTTTTGCTCTTACCAATCCTAGGGCTTCCTTAAGTCACAAACTAAAAGAGGTGTTTATTCCAAATTGTGTCCAGCTCCTCCTGCTTTTTAGAGGCTGACTTCAGCATCCATCAGTTCTAAGGGAAATCCTCTCTAATCTATTTTGAACATGCTGCTTCTGTTCCTCTGCAAGCTTTTGAGTTGCTTCAGTGCTGTCTTGGTATATTTATTCTGTTTTTAAAATGTATATTGTCACTTTTCTTGATAAAATAAACTCAAATTATGTGCACCCATCTTGTTTGGATTACTACCCAGAGCTGCTGCTCATCAGTACAACTTTACTCTGCTTGCTGTTACCGTCCCTCCTGCTCTCTTTCTCATTCTCGATGACTCCCAATAAGATGTTTGTCTTGATTCATGTAACTTCAAAGTAAACTAGAACCCAAGAATTCTCAGGATCCATGAGCATGAATAAAAATTTGGGAGAGCTCACATACATTAATTATCCTCCAGACTTTTGTCTTTAAAAATGATTTAGGCTTTCTCTTCTTAATGGTGCCAAAAGCCAGGAAGTATTAGTAAGCTGTGCTCCTCTCTAATCTGTCCCCCCCCCCCTTCTTCCTGGGATTACATAGATGTCACTTCTGTGTAAACAACTAGTGAATATGAAACCTTCGAATCTGTTAAAGAGAATATCTGAGACAGTGGGACACCATGATGGTCTTAAAGAAGAGTCTTTTCTTCGTCAGTATGAACCGGAGGTAATCTCAGACACCATTCCTGGAAAGCAGGGTCCCAGGGTCAAACTTAAGGCAGGCTGGGAACCAGATGGGCATTGAGTTGTTGGTTATTTGTGTTTAGGAGATGCTCATATCTCAGAAGGCAAGCATTGGCAAGGTGGGATGAAGTGAATGGATGAGAAAAGAGAAAGGGCTAAGTTTTGTGTGTGTGTGCAGGGGAGTTACTACTTTTTTATTGTATTGATTACCCATTCGGGTAGAATAATATAATATGCTCGAAGTTCTTTGCTCTGACCACAGCAGATCAACAAAGCTGCTGAGCAGATCAGCAGAGAACATACTGCTTATCTTAGCCAATCTCATTTAAGAAATTATTAGGACAGAGTTTGTCCATGTTTTAGACTACCTAAAAACGTGTCTCTATCAAGATCAAACTGATTCACACTTAGAGCCAAAAGTGAACTCCAGATAACAACAAATGCATCAGTCACTCTTCCCAACAGTGTCTTCTCCTACTAAAATGAGTGCCCAGATATCAAGATTGACATAGGTGCTGATTCCTCTGCAGCTTGTGGAACAGTCCAGGATGAGAGCTCCCCTATGTTGCACTATACAATATTGCCTTGTAAGCCTTCTTTTGGGCTGTGACCTATCAAGAGGTATAGACTGGGCTGTGTTAATAACCTTTCTTGTATTACAGCAAGCCCCTAAAGCCACAATAAAGAAAAGGCTTATTATTGCCTACTCATTTTGTTTACTCACCAAAGTCACATTAAACACCACTGTATGCTGGAAATTGTCCTTAATACTACCAAGGGCTGGTTCACATGTGACCACCATGTAGGTGGTACACTGGATGCAAGTTTGTGTGTTGTCGGGGGGAGGAATTGGCAGTATGTGTGATACAACTTTTTGTTTTAATAGACTCTTCTGCTCAAGTTTTGTTGTAAATGTGTTCTATACAACTTATGGCTTCAGCAAACACTAATTGCTCTCATTTCAGGAATACATGCCTTTCACACTACACATAGACTCTTTATTGCAAGCTGGCATTATAGATGCAAATACCTATGTAAATGCCCCATATTTGTGCAGTTTGTTTGCTCAAAAAATGGTGAATAAACTGATTTACTTGTCTGGGCATATTTGCACCTAACTCCTGGTTTATCTTAAAAGTTTTTTTGATTTTTGTTCCTTCACCTGCTGCTTAAGAATCAGTTCTTAATCAATTTATATTGATGTGTGGGTAGTTGAAAGGGGTAAGACACAAGTATTTGACTACTAAGAGCAGAATGTGTAAATCTGCTGCAATTTTGCATTGTTGGTATACTTTGGTAATTTTTGAATCTCAGTGCTATTTTTAAAGCAGTGGTAAACACACTCAGATGTATAGGCTGTTCAGTTTTCACTGAGCATCTGCAAAAGTTGAACTGCCTTCTTTGTGAAAACTGATTGGTTTCCCCCTCAAAGAAGTTGGCAGCATCCTTACTACTAAGAGCTAGGCTGAATACTTTCTGTTCATTTTCTAGGCATACTATCTGGCCTATGTTCTTCTTCACTTGGTCAGGGAAGCTAGCAATAATGAGGTTACAAATTCTAACCACAGGGTAAGTAATTTTTTGTAAACCACTTAGAGATTGTAATACAATCAGGTGATATTTAAATGTTGTGAAATAAATTAAAGTTAGTATGTATGTGCTTATACAACAAATTCATGGAAATGGTGGTCTCCTGGTTTTGGCTGGGGTTACATTCCTCATCAAGGTAAAAGGTTTGTTTTTAGATTTAACTGTGCTCATGAAGGCTCAAATATCTTCTGTAAACATTTTAACCATTTTAGCTGCATGGGTTCCTAGTTTCTTTCTAGATGCAATAATGCCCTATATAGTGTAGGATACCCTTCCCCAATACACAGCCTATTTTGGGGGTGTTTATTGTTCAAATTGTTAGTTTCCTGGTCACCTTACAGATTTTTATAATTGGAAAGACAGGATGTAACTATAACTCTCTAAGTAACACCTAATACTTTTAAAATCATACTATTACTGAAAATGTAGATAATAACTTAAGTTTTAGGGAAGATGTCACTTTGAAATGCTTTTCCCATTATTTACACATTTGGTCAGGAGAAAATTAACTCTTTTAATCTCACATTTAGGAATGGCTGGTGAAACTCTGCACTACTTTGGAAAAACATGTAAAATGTGATATTAGAGAAGATGTTAGACTGTTCTATAAAACTAAGGTGAGTAGTCTTGTACTTTTTTAATCCCCAGAAGGTAAGAGTTATTGTGAGGACTCTCTCTGCTCCCCCTTCCTTATATGCAGTCAAATATGAGTAACCTTGCACGTTTGAGGAGTTTGCTTCCATTACTCCAACATCCTATCTTGGCCAGGGCATGGGTTTTCTTTTGTGGACTCCTGAATGCTGATTTCAGGGCTGCTTCTCACACTTTTATTAAATTGCAAGAGTGCACTTCAGTCCTGCATTTTTAGGTCTGATGAGAATAAGGTTGAAGCAGATGATGATGTAAGCCCTAGGTATCTGATTCATCTATGTACGTAAGTACATGTATGTAAGTAAGCCCCACTGTGTTTAATGATGCCTACTCCGAGGTAAGAGTATGTAGGATTGCACCCTTAAGCATCCTTTCCCCCAGTTGGTTTCAATCGGTTTGTTTTCTCTTTCTAGGTAAAAGACTTAGTTGCTAGAACATACAGCAAATGGCAACAAATGATTCACAGTTCTCGGCTTACTCAGGTACTATGCAGTTAAAACAGCTTTTCACATTGCTGTGTGATTTACAGATTTACAGAAATATTGTAAGTCTTCAATGTAATGGTAATGACAGACTTCTGCAAGGGTGTCTTTGTGGCATATTATAATGAATAAGATGCTTTTCTAAGAGGTGAGCAGCTCTATAGATTTGCTAATAGAAGTTTGGATGTCAAAATAATGCTTGAGGGGTATGTAGCATGCATTATATATATATATTAAAAACCATTCTGTAACAGCCTGGAATTACTCAAGAATGAAGTGTAACTCATTGGCTAAGGAAACAAATTAGTGCAAATGTGCCTGGAAAGATGAATGCATCACTCACGCATGCCCTAAAGTATCAGACTAGAAGCATAGAAATCTTAACACTGTGCAAGCTGAAAATGTAAACGTGGAAAGGGACAGAAATTGCTTTACTGAAAAGAAATATAATGCTTAGTTAGATTACAATGCTTAGTTAGTTAAGCCTTTAAACTGGAAGCTGTGTTGCTCTGTATGTCAAAGAGGACATAAATTCCAACAAGCTAGAACTCCAAAACTAGTTTAGAACTGAGGACATACTATCATTCCCCTGGCCAAAATGCTCAGGCTGATCTTGTGATGTAGAAGGAAATCAATGAGGCATGCAAAGGAAAAAGTGCTGCAGTAATGTGTGGCTTCAGTTATCTTCACATAGACTGAGTGCGTGTGTATTTCAGTCGTGACAAGGAGGTATCCTAAATGACTGTGTCCTAGGACATGTAACCAGCCAGAAAGGTGACAGCCCTGGACTTAATCCTAAAGTGGCACCCAGGATCTGCTGTGAGATATGTGTTGTCGAACCAATTGGTAACTGTGGCCATAGTGCTACCAAATTCAACATATATGTAAGTGGACAATTGCCAAGGAAGTCCAATATGGTCACATTTTACTTCAAAAGCAGAAACTTGCCTCAAATGAGAAGTTTGGTAAAAACCACATTTAATAGAAGCTCAACTACAATGAATACCACAGACCAAGAAAGGCGCTACTAGGGATAATTAGGAAAGGAACTGAAAAGTTCCAGTGTCATAATACCATTATACAAATCTGGAATACTGTGTAAAGTTCTGGTTGCTTCACCTCAGAAAGGATACAGTAAAGTTGGGGAAAGTGCAGAAAAGGGCAACAAAAATGAGCAAGGTGTTCATGCATCTCCCCTCAGAGCCATCTAATGAAAGTTATTTGCATTAGGTTTAGGACAAGCAAAATGAAGTATTTCTATGGTATGAATTGAAGTGTGGTAGTGGTCATTGGTAGTGGTCATTAAAAGAGGATTTGACTGATTCAAGGAGAAGAATGATGGCTATGTGAAACCTCTAGATTCAGAGGTAGCATGCCACACTCAGAGTATAAACAGAAGAGGACTATTGTATTGTTTTCATGACCTCATCATGGGCTTTCTAGAGGCATCTGATTGGCCACGGTGTGGAAACAGGTGCTGGAATATATAGATACAGCTGACTCTCAACTTACACTGGAGATACGTTCTGGGGATAGTATGTAGAGCCAAAATCACGTATAGTCAGAACATTGAGTTCAGTGGCAAGTGGGAGTGCCAACGTTTTTTTCCTGGACACCCCCCCCCCTTTCCACCTCCGTTTTATTTATTTTTAGTATTTTTGCCAAGCACATAAAGCTGAATGTACATAAATTGCAAGTTATCTGTACATACATGTCTTTGGTCTTATATAGGGCTTCTATTGAATTAACTAAAGTTTTGTTTTTTGGTCTAAACCAATTTTGAAGTTCAATTTATTTTTATCGTAGGGGCAGATTCATGATTTTTGGGTCCCAGACGCTTCAAATGGATAGATTGAAGAGAATTTCAAAATGGACAGTATGGCCAAGAAAATAAAAGGATGAAGACTATAGCGTGGCCTAAGAAGAAAAATGGCAGTAATCTGGATATCACTTCCACATATTTTATATGATTCTTACTTTGTCCTTCCCTAATAACTGAACAATGTTCATAATTAAGAATCTTTTAACATGTCTTATCCTGTTTAGATTGATTTGATAAAGAGTTAATATTTTTAAAAGTAAGGGTAGTTTTTATTTTTTGTCATGCTTGTTACTATAAAATAGAACTATTCTAATATATTTCCTACTGTGAAGCAAAGTTCAGAAACCGCTGTATTTGTTTTGGAATGGACAGGAAGTGCTAAAGTGACCCTTGTGCTTAGAAAGTGATGGGGGAAACACTTGCGCTACAGTCCTCTATGCACTTGGAAGCAAATCTCATTGCTTCCTTTGGGGCTTATTTCAAAGTAAGTGTACCAAGTGTTGCAGCCTTTCACCTGTAGACACATTCAGCTGCCTAAGCAATTGGGTGTCTTTAAATGCCACCTAGTGAGCCCAGTTTTAAGTTAAAAAGATTAATGGCAGTTCATACTTGGTTTTAGACTATGCATCAAAATTACATGCTAATACAAAAGATCTGTTAGTCAATAGTTAGGGGAATTAATTTGTTTGGAAATGTAAATAAATTCAGAGAAGAGTTTATTCTCCTGGTCATGCCACTATAGATACTATAGTTGAGTTGTGTGTAGCTGTGAATATTTCACGGGCATCTCAGTCTTAATGCCAATAAATTATAAGGAGAGAGGGAGATTTTCTGAATGCTTGCACTGCCATAAATGTGAATAAACAAATTGTTAGAGATCATAACAGAAATTAAAATGTAAATATAAAGAAGTAGAGATAATATAAGTCTAAGATAATTGATTTTTACAAGGAGACACTTTTGGCATTGTGTTTAATCCTATTTATGCATTTTAAGCAGAAGTATGCAAAATAGATTGATAAAGCAAGATGGACTGCTAGTCAAGGAGCAGTTCAGCGCTGTTAAATCCATGGGAGTTTTGTCATTGATTTTAATGGGAGAAAGTTTGTACTCAACTTATATCAAAACATTTCACGCTTCCAGTGCTGTTCAGAATTTGTTGGACCCCAACATCCCACAGGTTGGGTGGGAAATGCTACCTCAAAGGGAACTAGTTTCTTTTATTTCTTTTTTGTGGTGGGGAGTATTTTACAGACCCTGCATTCCACAGCCAGTGTCCAGAGAGCCCTGTGAGCAAGGAGATTGCAGTTCTGCTCAGGTGGGGGCGTCACTGACGTTTTTTCTTTGACCTGCAGCACCTTGTGCTGCATCAAAAGCTGCTGTGGAAGGTAGGTCCTCTGACCTCAAGGAGCAGCTTTTCCAGCCAGGGGCTACAGTGAGAAGAGAAATGGGGAAAGCCCTAATGTGCCTGCACGCTGTGCATACTTCTCTGGATCCTGGCCTATAGTTAAAAGCCTCCTTTGTTGTTTATTTGTACTTTTGAATATACTCATATATAACTTTTTATAAACATTTCAAATTGACTTTATAAAGTACAAATATGCCTGCTCTCTCTTTGCCACTTTACTGTATCTGTGTATTATATGAAGAGATACTATCTGTATTACTTTTCAAACACACTTGGAATTATCCAGGTCACAGTTTAACCACTTTTTTTAATGAGACAAAAGAGTAAGAATAAAGTATAAAATAATCATGTGTGTCTCTAAAATTTATATGTGAATATGAATTTCAGCATTATTCCTTACACTCAGGAAAAAGAGATTCTGAGCACCATACCTCTCCTGTACAGCAGCACGCATCTCATCTTAAATGATTAAATCCAGAAATGCTACCTTGTCATCTTGCAGTAGTTTCCCCTTGTACATGTACCTAGCTTAATAATTTCATTTCCCCCCAGACAATACAGCTTGCAATATAGGCATGCTACTGCTGCGCTACCAATGCTCTCTTGAATTTGTTATGACTTGCTGATCCTAGAGACTGTTTATGTACCAAGCAGATATTTGGAGTTGGTGTCGTGGTTTTTTCCCTACAGTGAAGGTTGATATCCTCAGTTGGGTTGCTTTTCACACTTGCTCCAGAAGGTAGGGAAATGCAAAATAGGCTTATTTATGTCCTATGTGGGGGACAGCAACCTTCCCCAGTTTATTGTCCAGCCTGCTCCATGAAGGTAGCTTCAAGCACATCTCCACTTCAGTTCTCTCTTTCTGTCTCTTGTTCATGTATGTGATAGATTGACACAGTCCTTTTGGGGGGTAGGACAGCGGAGGTGACTGACCTTACTAGGATGGTGCAAGTGACCACACATGGGAGCCACTGGGGTTGGGGAGCTTGTTTGATCTAGGCTAATGCAAGTGGTCTGTGCAGGAGGCCAGTTGTTCCATCTGCTGGCTGGAGCTGAGAGTGACTTACGGTACTCCAACACCACAGCTTAGCTTGGGTCAACAACATGACTCTGAAGGTATGTGTAAACCGCCAAGGGGAAGAAGCTGCCAAACCCTGTTGAAGGAAGTTCATCTACTGTTCAGCTGGGCAGAGGAGAATCTTGCACCCGTATCATCTGAGCAGGACAGCAAACAGAAGGGCAGATTGGCTTAGCTGGAGCATCTGGCTCAGGCAGAACAGGAGCTGAATTCAGAGGTGTTCCATCAAGTGATAAGGGTGTTCAGGCCCTCGGTGGCCAATCTGTTTGCTTCTTTAAATGCACAGGTTCCCAAGTTCTTTTCCAAGTTCCACTCCATGGTGGTGAGGATGAATACCTACACAAGTATATGACCCAGACACCTTCCCACCTCCAGTGCTGATTGCCAGGGAGCTATGGAAGGACCTTTAACTTACACTAGCAACCCATATGTTACCAGGCTAAGATGATGGGAGTTGGAGGGTACTACATTGGCTATCCCAGACATAGACCAATTGTTACATTGTCTTTTGTGTAAAAGGTGGTGTTTGATATATTAAGTTCTCTGTTAACATTGCCTATCTTGGGAATTTCTGTTCTCACAGAAAACCAAAGAAGTTGGGCAGAAAAAAGCCAATTAACAAGGTATCCTCTGCCACAAAGCAACAACAAATATGAAGCTGGTCAGAAGGAGTTTGGAAAAATGCTCAGATAAAGACACACTAGTTTTCCCACTCAATTTTTTCACAGGGCTTCCTGTCGCATTTCTAGCTGTATCTGTGATTTTACCTCTCTTCCATAGTGACGCCCTTCTGCTTCTTGGTGTGCAGCCTTCACTGTTTCCTTATTTGGGTTTTCAGTGTATATAAATATAGCAGCTTCTATTTACAAAACCAGTTAATTTTCAATTTAATGCTGCTGGACATTTGGTCTCTGCTCCTGATTGCTTGTGTTTATGTGCACACAGTCTAAAATCTTCTCTTTCAACAAGAGCATCAGCAGTTGGTGGAAAGGACTGTTGGTGGAATTCTGGAATATGTGTAAAATTGCACCGGTTTGTGTCTCAAGTTGCCCTTCCCCCATGTCCGATTTCTGTTCAGGGTTAGGATGCCAGCTGCAGTGGGCCTTTTGAAACAGCTCCAGGCCGCAGGCCTCTGGCATGACTCAAGGTGTACTGTAGGGAATGGCGTTGGTGTTGGAACCAAACTTGGACCTCTCTATATTTGGATATGCTGGTAGCTTATTAACAGGCCAATCCAATCACATTATTTCCAAATCATATTACTTCCAAATTATACAGCCAGATTTTTAAATTTTGTTGGGGGTACCCTTACATCAAGCTCCGAACGAGAATCAAAACATCACTTCTGTTACTGCTTTTATCAAACGATTCTATCCAGCTCTGTCCAGATAGTCTCTTTATTACTTCTTCATCTTCTTGTTGTTATCATGTATTCCTTTCTTTGCAATCTCTGATAATCTTCGCAAGCAGGTTAGGAACAAACAACATCTGCGTGGATTTTGCACACTCCAAAAGTCATATCTCATAAGGACAGCCGCCATTACTCCCCGTCTTCAAAAATTTATCCTCGGTCCGTCCTATTAATTTTCCCAAGCTTGCCACATATATCACAAAGGGGCTCTGCCAGGTTATCACATTCAATCCATCATTTACATTCCAATGACCCTGGTCCTCCTCCCTTCGTCTTTCTTTGACAAGCCTGTCTTAGCAAGACGCCATTAACAACTGCGTCATAGAATTTTCCTTCCGCACTCCATATTTACCAGTCCTCTCTTCAATCAATAATTCACTCCACACAGCTGTTAAATTCTTGCTTGCGATTAGTAAAAGGCGACGATTTGTCTCTCTTGGGGTGGAGGTTTATAAATACTCACAAGAGGCAAACAAAATAAAAAAAATTTCCTCCACCCCCCCTCTTTTTTCGTTCCGCACATACCAGTCTCGTAATGGTGGTTCATCGCTTGATTTATTTGTCTCCTCCCGTCGCTCCAAACACAGAGATGCATTAATCAGCAGCCTTATCTCTCAAACTTTGCTTGATGTAAGTGCTTCAGCTTCATTCCAATTATGTATTTCCGATTATAATTCTGAGCTGAAGCTAACCAGCGCGCGCTGATTGGAATCGGCGTCAGGAAGAGCTTACTTCATCGAGGGCTCGTGCCAAGCAACTGGCACCCCCGACTCTCGGATCCGGGGGTGCATTGTGGACACTGCTGGCAAGGCAGCCCCCCCATCTCCTTGGAGGGGTTGGAAGACTGCATACTTCCCATAGCAGCCTCTTAATTACCTCATATGGGTCAGAGAGATGTTATTGTCGGCCATCTTCCAATGCGCCACCTGGTGGCCCCTCGAGAACACTGTCCAATCATCTCGTCCTCTGTCGTCCCCTTCTCCTTGTGCCCTCATTCTTTCCCAGCATCAGGGACTTTTCCAGGGAGTCTTCTGTTCTCATGAGGTGGCCAAAGTATTGGAGCCTCAGCCTCAGGATCTGTCCTTCCAGTGAGTACTTAGGGCTGATTTCCTTAAGAATGGATACGTTTGATCTTCTTGCAGTCCATGGGACTCTCAAGAGTCTCCTCCAGCACCATAATTCAAAAGCATCAATTCTTCGGCGATCAGCCTTCTTTATGGTCCAGCTCTCACTTCCATATATAACTACTGGGAAAACCATGGCTTTAACTATACGGACCTTTGTTGGTAAGGTGATGTCTCTGCTTTTTAAGATGCTGTCTAGGTTTGCCAACGCCTTTCTCCCAAGGAGCAGGCATCTTTTAATTTCGTGACTGCTGTCACCATCTGCAGTGATCATGGAGCCCAAGAAAGTAAAATCTCTCACTTCTTCCCCTTCTATTTGCCAGGAGGTGATGGGCCCCTTCATGGATCACTGCCTTGCCGTGGTGAAAGGGCTTGAATAACTCAGAGAAGCTATGAGCTATGCCGTGCAGGGCCACCCAAGATGGACAGGTCATAGTGGAGAGTTTTGACCAAACGTGAGCCACCTGGAGCAGGAACCGACAAGCCACTCCAGTATCCCTGCCAAGAAAACTCTATGGACAAAGGCAACAGGATGGGTGTTTGGGCAACATTAATCAAACCCTTTGCCCCAAGTATGTTAACATCTAGATTTAGACAGGTGAGACCTTGGTGGAGGCAGGAGTCAACAGCTACTAGCTCCGAAGGCCATTTCCCACATCTGCTGTCAGAGGCAGTATGCCTCTGAATACCAGTTGCCGGGAATCTCAAGTGGGCAGAGTGCTGTTGGACTCGTGTCCTGCTTGTGTGCTTCCCATAGGCATCTGACTGGCCACTGTGAGAACAGAACAGGATGCTGGACTAGACGGGTCTTTGGCCTGAGCCAGCAGGCTCTTTGTAAAGGCAAAAGTGAACAGATACAGTTAAGCTTTGTTTAGGCAAGGCTGAAGGCTTCACGGAAAAGGGACTTTGCAGAGGAATTGTCTGTTGCCTCCAGTATCAGAGGTGGTACGCCTCTGAATATTTGCTGGCGGCAGAAGTGGGGAGTGTGCTGTTGCACTCTTGCAGACTTCCCATAGGCATCTGGTTGGCTGCTGTGAACAAGATGCTAGAACAGGTGTTCTTATGAAGGAAAGAGTTTGTTCAGTGAGGAAATGGCAGGCACAGGGAGGATGGGTCTAAAACAGGTGCCGCAGATCTTTGAGTAGACGAGCGGCCAAGTGGGCTCATTCTCGGAGCGGGTCCGTTCAACCTTCACAAAGCTTCAAGGAAAACATGGACAAATGTTTCACGAAATAATCTGTAGTTATTGGTGTCTGGCACAGAGCGAAGGGTAGTTGTGCACACTTTAGCTGCAGTGGAATAGTGGTGGACTCCTCATGTTGTAAATGTTGCACAACTCAGATTTTTAAATAAATTCCATGAAAAGTGAGTGCTTTTTACTTCTTTGCAGTCTTTTGTCAGAGTTCCAACACTGTATGTCCTATATACCAGACATTATGGCCTATTACCTATAAAATATTGCCAAATCACTGGAGCAGGACTTCCTTGGAGAGGGAGGTTCACACTCAGAAGTCTCCTGGCTGTTTGTAGAAGGTGCTGCTGGTATTGCCCCTCTACCACTGGTGCTCTAATGGAGAGGGCAAAAGTAGGGAGGCTGTGGATCTGCTGGATCCAAAACTCCCTGCCCCAGTATGGCCCTGAGGCAGGGAGCCAGTGCAAGACCAGTGAGATATGATGGTTCTGCTGGCAGACAGTCTCCCACCCCTGCCATCATTGGATTGCTTGATCTGGCTCTTCATTTGTATGGTTCTTGGGTATCTACCAAGATTTTATACAGTGAGAGAGGTCCATGCACAAGAAACTCCAGTTGACCTTGTTCTACAAAGCATAGAAATGTCATTAGTTGGCTTCTCAGCCAACCCCCCCCCCCAAATTAGTCTTTGCTTGAAAAACATGTTAATCAACATTGTATTTTCCTGCCCCCCACTTCCCTGCTGGATTTGAAGATGAAATGTGGTAATTATTAGAGTTCCAGCAGCTCAGCAAAGACTGCTGCTATTCAGAATTGCAGAGGCAGTTAAGCCTCATCAAGGCAATTAGTGATGCCAGACAGAGAATGATTAATGGGATTAAAAGTAGTATCAGATTTTCTATAAATAACTCTCCTTTCCATTATCCTGTATGCTGATGAGTCGCTCCATTGTTTAAACTTGGTGGCAGAGCTTTCTCTAATTGTGAGAGATTACTCTAGCAAAGAAATGATGCCAAGAGATTGTATTTGTAAAGGTGACAAGCTTGCAAGGGCGAAACCTCACTGAGCAGATCTACCTCTGGCTGATGGCAATCCTAGGAAAGGAATACGATGGCCAAATACTGATTCGCTAAGCTTTGCACAGACCCCTTTCTGGCTGTGGTGTGAAAGTTGGAGAATGCGTAGCCACACACATGATTCATCTGTGGGGAATGTGAAGACAAATGGCTTCATCTAATGCTGAAGGCAAAATGGCTATCAGACCCCTTTGGAGAAGCAACAACTCAGTTCTAGAGTTCAAGCAGTTTCGGGCACCATGCTTTGTGGGTGCTGACTTACAAGACCTGTCACCCTTGAAAAGTATTTCCTATGTGCCTTGTAACTTATCTTTTATGAAGCAGTAATCTTCATGAAGCAGCAGGTGGTGCTGTTGCTCATGATCTCAAATTTGCTTACCTCCTATAAGGAAGAATCAAAGTTGAATTGAAAACTACTTAGTTTTCCTTCATTTTATGCAGAAGAAAGAGCATTTAGGCAGGGTAAGGAGGTTTGTCTTATCTCTATCCCTGGTGTGCTCAGTATTTGAAACAAGGCATCTTGTTATCTGAAACGAGAGCCCATTGTGGTTGTAAATGGGAACAAACTGGAGGATGCTGTCCAGAGTATGTTCCTGCTAGTAATACTTAGCTACACAGAAGTTACTGATAATATGGTATAGATAAAGGCAGGGCAGGCAGTGCATTATTTGCTTCATCCAGTTTATATACTGCTTGCTTGTAAACACAAAAAACAAAGTGGTTCACAAAAAATGAAACAATGACCTTACCAATAAAAACAGTTTAATTTTTTAAAAAAAAATTAGAGTATTGACAATAGAAGACCTCATTAAAATGCATGTCAGAATTCTACATATCTGAGTAGGCTTGCTTAAAAATGCTGTTAGCAAGTGCTGAAAAGAGTATAGCGAATACGCCGGTCTGATAGAATGCAGTCGGAAGGCACATCATGAGGAAATGGGTGGCGTTGCCAGCGCAAATGGTGGAGCAGGCACCAGGTCAGTGATAGAGCATGTGCTCTGCATGGAAAATGTTCGGTCCTTGGCATTGCCAATTGAAAGGATCAGTTAGCCAGTAACAGGCAAAGGCCTTTGCCTGTGACTGCTGCAAGTTGCAACAGACAATTCTACCCTAAATGGGCAAATAGTCTAACCTGGTACAGATCAGCTTCCTATGATGACAGGGCCCTATATTTTAACAGCTGTGAAACAAGCTGATTTTCAGCAGAACTAGGGAAATGTGCACCTACTATCATTCTCTCTTTGATTATGATGATGATGATTTGTATACCGCCCTATACCCACAGGAATAGCTCATGGTCGTCTTATTACTGGGTGAGTAGGAAAACAAAGACCAAAATACTGCCTGTGTACCACCATCCTGACTTCCCAATCACTTCCATTTCCTGTGTTGTCTATATATGTGAGCTTTTTGTTTACATGTGATATTTATAGACACATACATGCACACCTGCGGTAGGCAACAGGCAGTGAGATATTAAATGTTATAAATCTAAACTGTACCACCGCATCATATACTCGTGCAATGCTGAATGCATTTTAGATCTGTTTCATTATTCCAAACCCTCTGAACATCCATTAATCTAAACCTTCATCACCAGAGGAAGCCTATCCCTTGGCAATCTCTTGGTAGCCAATACTTCTTGAAAGCATCAAACTGAAACGGTGTGTTTTGCTTTCCGAAGTGCCTTCTCCTAACCTTTATTGGAGGTTTGCAAAACCTGCTCAGAGCCCACACCTCTGCTTTTATAAATAATTTGCTTTTTAACAGCATCGAACAGCATATTTAAATGGCTTTCTGTGAAGACGGAAGCTATTGTCTCCCCATGTCAGCCAGCCGGTGCTCTTCGAAATCAAGTGTATAAAAAAAGAAGTACCCAATAGCTGAGTGAGGTTCTGACTCCACTCTGCATAGCTGCTAATTATCTCATTACAGGGTGAGTAGATAATGCAGTTGGAGCCAAGAGCAATTTGGCCTCTCAAGCAGCTCTCGTGAACAAGAAAGGCTCGCTGCAGTAGACCAAGGCTGCTTTTACACAGGAGGCTAACGCTGGCCGGACTTCTGATTCCTGCTGTGAATGTATAACTCATGAGCTGGGCCATTCCTTTTGCATTCAGAATTCTCTCCTGCCTTCTCTATGTGTTGACCACCCTTCACCAAAAGGCCACAGGGCAATTTAC